TGCCTTCACTCTCTCCTTCTCCCCCTTGACACCAACAATTTGACGATCATCTGACTGGCACTGAAGGTGGTTTCTATCCTCCGCCTCCGCCTTGGCCCCACAAGAGTCGCCTGCCTTTAGACCTTGCTTCTGCTGCGGATGCTAAATGGCTGTTTCGACCAGTGTTGGACCCAGAGGGTGGACAAATAGGCCTGGAGCATCCCATGCTCCCCTACACGTTCAGCTGCTAGGCCACATGCAGGCAGTCTGCAGACCCGGGCCAATGCTGGTACCAATCATTTACCATTTGGTGTGGGGCACTACTCTTCTTCGATTGAACAGGAAGCCTTGGACTCTGACTCTTTGGAATTGGATGACGAAGAGGAATCACCTCCTAATATTCCCACGCCAGTGTCTGAAGAATCATTCTCCTTCAGTGTCTGAGAATGATTCTTCCTATTCTCAGTTAATCCTTTGCATTGCAAGGGTGTTGAAATTCAACATCAAGCAGTCTACTGCAAGAAAAGTAGACAAGGTGTTTGAGGACATAACCCATGATCAGTCCCCCGCCTCTCAGCCTTTATACCATCTTTATCAGAGCTTATGAGGGAGTCCTGGGTGAAACTGACCTCCTCCTATCAAATCCCTAGGAGGTTGGAAAACCTCTGTAAGACTTATGGAGAGAACTTCTTCATGGTAGATGCCACTCAGAATAAAGCTAGGCATCGCTCAACACCTACACCTAATAACAAGGAAGGACACAAGTTGGATGTTATTGGCTGAAGAACATATTATTTGGCCTCCTTCATCTTGAGAGTTGCCAACTATTGTTTCGCCATGGGGGCCTACCATCGCCACCTATAGAACTTGGCGCACCTGAGGATGTCCAGGCCCAAGGTCTATCATGGTATCAAGAGGCCATGAAGTTTGCTCGCCAAGAGCATATCTCTAGATGCGGCATCAAAACAACTGGCCACGGATGTTTCCCTCTGCCACCATGCCTGGCTCTACACAGCAGGAGCTTCTGAGGACATGAGGGCAAGGACTGAGGACCTGCTGTTTGATGGCATTGGCCAGTTTGATTAAAAACTGATGAAATTCTTGATGAAATTCTTGACAACCTGCTGAAGCTCAGGAAAATGGCCAGATCCTACTGTAACCAACAGTCCCACCCCAGGGACACCTGGCACCAGCCTTATCCATCAAAAAATTTCCAGGATCGTCAGAGGCCTCAAACCTCAGGATTTTCATCTCATTTTCTAGGCAAGTCGGCAGGCGGTGCCCTCGCCAGCAGGCGCACCGCTCAGACCAGAAAGCCAGGCAACCTCTTTGACACTTATATTTTGCCAGCAGTTGACCCCTCAATTCGTCTTGCCCCCTTCTTTCACTCATGGTACACGATCACATCAGACTCCTGGGTTCTTTCCATTGTAGCCAGGGGCTATGCCATTAAATTTGATTTTCCCCCTATCACAGGCCACATTAAGTTTACCACCCCCTCTCCTCATTTGGAAGATGAAATACGGGCCCTGCTCCAGAAGGATGCCATTGTCCGTTTTCACCATCCTGATGTGTCATTGGGATTTTATTCTGGATATTTTACCATCCCAAACAGGGACAGGGGGCTCTGCCCCATACTCAACCTCTGCGGCTTGAACTGGTATATTACTCCTTGGCAGTTTTGTATGGTCTTCTCTGGAGGCCACCATTCACATGCTTCAGCAGGGTGACTGGTTCACAGTTATAGATTTGAAGGGCCCAAGTTTTCATAGTAGCATTAGACTGCATCACTGGCATTTTCTCAGGTTTTCAGTTGGAGGAGTAACATACAAGTGCAAAGCCCTTCCTTTTGGGTTGTCTACTGCCCCTCAGGTTTTCACCATGTGTATGGCCCCCTGTGGTAGCACATTTACATCTCCAAGGGATCACGGTGTTTCCTTATTTGGATGACTGGCTGTTGGTAGCGCAGTCTGAGTCCCAGGCAAAGAGACACACAGCACTAACTCTATCTCTGCTATCAACCCTAGGCCTGAAGGTCAATTTGGAAAAGTCAACATTGCGTCCTACTCAGCAAGTGGCTTATATCGGCGCAGTCCTGAATGCCTCATCAGGTCAGGCCTCTCTGCCTCTGGACAGGATTTCAAAGGTCAAGTCCATGCTGTGCTTTTTCCACCCGGGAGCAGGGGGTACCAGCCTTCCAAGTTCAGCAGCTCCTTGGCGTCAGAGCATCCACCACTGCTGTGGTGCAGCATGCCTGCTTGAAAATTTAGGTCAAGCATGGTACCTTTCACTGTTCTCTGTTGTGCTAGATCCTCTGACCAAGTGTCTACAGATCACGCCCAAACTGGCTGCTCAATTGACTTGGTGGGACTATCCCTCAAATCTGGTGTTAGGAAAACCCTTCGGCCAGCTGTCCCCGTCTGTTCAAATAACTACAGACGCCAGCCTGACAAGCTAGGGTGCACACATGGGCTCTCACATGATCCGTGCCCGCTGGTCTTCAAGGGAAGTGCGTCTTCACCTCAACCATCTAGAACTCCTGGCAATAACCAAGGCGTTTCGAGCGTTCAAGAGTCTCCTGGTCGGTCAGGTGGTCCGAATTGCAACAGACAACACTATGGCAGTATCTTATATCAACAAGCAGGGGGGCACCCACTCGCTCCAGCTGCTCTACCTTGCCATCGACCTCTGGGAGTGGTGCTTCATCTGCCACATCTTCCTAGTGGCAGTTCATGTGACAGCTGAGGGGAATGCTTTGGCAGATCACCTCAGCAGGCAACAGTCCTGTTCCCACAAGTGGACCCTAGACAAGCACCATCTTTCAACAACTCTGCCATCGATTGGGCACTCCAAAGCTGGATGTCTTTGCATCTCAGGACAACAGGAAGTGCAGAAGTTACTGCTCCAGGGCTGGGGTAGGCCACCTCTCCTTGGGGGATGCCTTTATGATAATGTGGGCCTCAGACTTGCTCTACATGTTTTCTCCCATTCTGCTTCTACAAAGAACCATTCTAAAAATACGGCAAGACGACACAAATGCCATCCTCATAGCCCCCCCGTTGGTCCCGCCAGCCGTGGTTCTCGGTGCTACACAACAGGGCATCAGATTACATCTGGCTGGAGTCCATTCCCCACCTGTTGACCCAGAACCAAGGCAAGATATTCCATCCGGATCTGGATTCTCTCCACCTGACGGCGTGATGGCTTCCCCATTGATAACAGAGGTTCTCAGTTTTGCGTGTAAGTGTGCCACTTGCTTGATTGATGCCTATAAGTGGAAATCTTTCGGTAAGTTTACAGCATCCTGTCACTTACCTGTCAGCCCAACAACCCTCAACACAGTCCTTCAGTTTCTGCTTCACTTGTTTCAGTGTGGCCTCTCCCACTCAACTTTAAAGGTGTATATGGCTGCTATAGTGGCCCATCAGCCACCTTTTCATGCAGCTACGCTCTTTCGGCACCTCACCTTGAAACAATTTTTGCAAGGGCTAAGGCACATGTGACCGTCCTACAGGCCCCTCTTGCCACAGCAGTTGCTCCAGCCTGTCCTGAATCAGCTTATGAAGCCTCCATTTGAACCCTTAGCTTCAGCATCAGACCACCTTTTGACCTTGAAGACCGTGTTTCTTCTCACAATCACCTCGACTCGAAGAGCAGGGGAGGTGGCTGCCTTAAGGGTGGACCCTCCCTTCCTCCAGTTTCACCCTCACAAGGTGACTCTGTATCTAGATCTCTCCTTCCTTCCCAAGGTGTCATCTTACTTTCATTTAAGCGAGCCAATTGTGCTGCCCACGTTTTCCCCAGCACCGATCTTGCCACAAGAGAGAGCATTACATTCGTTGAATGTTAAGCAGGCCCTCTCTTATTATGTTCATCACACTGCCATGTTCCACACTTCAAAGAGGCTCCTTGTTGCCTTCCAGGACCCTTCTAAGGGTGTGCCGGTCACCTCTCAGACCATCTCCAGATGGATTGGTTCGGCGATATGCCTTGCATACCAATTGGCTCAGGTATCACTCCCTGACATGGTTAAGGCCCCCTCAGTGAGGGCTATGGCCTCTTCAATGGCACTTCTCAGAGGGGTGGACCTCACGGACATCTGCAGAGCTGCCACATGGGCCACGCCATCTACCTTCGCATGTCACTATTGGCTGGATGTCCGGGTCAAGGCTGAGGCGGCTATGGGCTGTGCTGTCCTAGTTTCAGTGCTCCTGTGATGTCCCTCCTCCGGGTAAGTGAGCTTCCTAGTCACCCATTACTGTGCATTCACAGAGACCACGAAGAAGAAAAAGAGGCTACTTACCTGTAACTCTGGTATCTGTGAATAACCACTCCCCGCCCTTCCTCTCCACTGTCCATCACGTGAGCCTTTTGCGTGCTGTGCAGCGGTGGATGGTTCTACAGAACTGAGGCACCTGGTGCCAGAGGTGGGGTTAAAGGCAGCATGTGGGAGGCCCCGGCACCATGTGCTCAAGCTCTGGAAAGTTCTGAGGCTGCTCTGCACAGGCACAGATTAACCCATTAGTGTGAATTCACAGAGGATCACTCGAAGAACCAGAGTTACAGGTAAGTAACCTCTTTTTCCCAGCCTTGGGTCCCCAGACATTCTTGGCCTGCAACTCCCAGCCTTCACCAGTAGCTGTGCTGACCAGGATTTCTAGGAATTGCAATAATCTGGGAACCATTGTCCTAGACGCATATTCAATGCACTAGCAAAAAGTGGACTTCTCACATGGAAAACATAGAGGGGAGGAATGAAAAAGGGGCATGTAACCCTTCCATTAAGCCCTGGCACCAATTGGAAGAGGGAAGAAGATGGACAGCCAGGTATAAAAACCACCACACACAACAAAATCATTTTTTAAATTATTCTTCAGCGCTACCTGCCCTGACAGTTGTCTTGCCACCTGGACCCAGGGAAGTGTAACTATTCCTTGAGACTTCAGCCTGTGTCCTGAGACATGGCAACCTCAGCTTATTCAGCTACTGAGTGCTGCAGGGATGAGCATGTAGGAGAGAGATAACAGCAAAGGCCACAGGCTTTTATTGCTCGCTCACACAAAAAATACCAGGTAGCTTGCAATCTAACAGTGTTTCATGCTGAACAGGAACAAGGATTGTGCTCCAGCTTCCCAGTTAGAAAGAGCCATACAACTCCTGTGTCAAGTAGTCATTTTCCAGGGACTGAGGGACTTCTGGTTCTCCTGAACTTGATGGCTCTTCTAATCCTGGAGGTGGAAAAGCAAAGCAAAGAACATATGAAATACAACTGTTTCCATTGATTTGAACTGTGGTAAGAGAAATGACAGCTAGATGGAAGATCATCCTAGGTCCATGATACATCAATTGGGTCATGCTCAGAGAAGTGAATTGTAAGATTCATTTTCAGCAGCTGAGATAAGTGTACAGCCTTCATGTGGTTTTCTCTATATGCCATTCATTTGATGAAATAGGCTGAAGCCTACAAAACTTATGCCATATACAACGTCTTACTCTTTAAGGAATACAAGATTCTTTATAAGTTTTCATGCAATAAAGTACTTTGCATGGCACAAAATTACCAGGAAGATAAGCCCAAATCTTATTGGCTATTCAAGCTGCTGTAAATTTTATGACATAAATCGCAGTGGTGAATTGCTACTAGTTAATGCGTCACCACTTGCATTCCTTGTTGGGTGCCAAGTCCAGCTATTGGTGCACGACAAAGAATACAAGTGGCAATTTGCCACTCTTTTTTATAACTCTGTACTTAGGCCAGCATAAACAACCAATAGGGCTCTGTAGCGATCACCTTGCTTTGGCTCAGGTAGAAGATTATTGGCATGTAACAATGAGAGCTGTTGGGAGGCAGAGCCAGAGAAACTAGAAGGGAGAGGTGAGTCAGAGTCTAGAGAGTTCAGTCAGAGACAGAGTTGGGAGAAAGGAGTTTGAGGTTGGAGGCAGAGAGGTTAAAGTAAAATGCTGAAGCTTTGTGTAACTTTAAGAACGTGCTTAAGAACTATTCCTAAAACAACTTGTAATCAGTAAACCTGTTTCTGTTTAAAAGTTCAGTACTGAACGGACCTCAGTCTTTCATAGGAAATATAGGTTGATAAAGAGATCAACTGGTGGCAGCGTGTTAAAGGGTGTGTTGGGATACTTGTGTGAGCTCTGTGTTTGGTGAAACAAACAGGGGCCATGGGGTAAACACCACAGGCTCTAGACATTTTTGTTTGTTTGTTTTTCCAGAAAATTGCTGGAACTGCTGGAGAGCTCAGTGGTTTAGGCATCTGGCTGTGGAGCTAAAGGTTGAGAGTTTGATTCCTCACTATGCCTCTTTGACAAGAGCTGGACTTGATGATGCAGAAGATCCCTTCCAGCTCTGCAGTTCTAAGATGATGATGATGATGATGATGATGATGAGTAGTAGTAGTAGTAGTAGTAGTAGTAGCAGTAGTAGTAGTAGTAGTAGTATATAAAATTATTCAATCAGGGTAGCTAGATGTAAAGAAGGATGGGAGATGTATGCCTATTTAAGAGTTGAAAGGATTTCAGGAGGTGCAGCTTGGGTAACAAACTACCAGTTGAAATTCCTATGCACAATAGCGAAGAGCATAGGATCCTTGTCCTCTTACATCTAGCTACTCTGCTTGAGAGAACTGCTTAGCTTCTGGTTGTCTTTTTCAGGTAATACGTACCTATGGAAAGGATCTCAGAGTGCAGTCAGCTGGAAGGGCACTTGCCTGACGGCACCAGAAATTGTAGCTTTAATGGGAACAACCTCCCTTAAAACGACCCTTCTGTCTGCCAGGGAAGCAATCACTCCAGCCTAACCTCCAAAGGAGAAGCCCCACAGCTGGACACAGAGCAGGGTCAGCCCGGAGTGCAGCCCCCTGTATATTGTGTCATTGCTGGGAAATACAGTGGTGCCCCGCATAGTGACGATAATCCGTTCAGAAAAAATCATCGCTATATGCGTTCCTATGGGCAAAACGCTCACCGTTATGCGGAAATCCTCCATGCGGCTGCCATTTTCGCTGCCCGGTAAGCGAGGAAAGGGCGCGAAAACACAGCGGGCGGCCATTTTCTTTACCCAGCGGCCATTTTGGAACCGCTGATCAGCTGTTAAAAAAACATCGCTATGCGGAAACTGGTAAGCGAAACGCTTACCAATCATCGCAACACGATGTTTTACCCTTAGAAACATCGCAATGCGATCACTTTTGCGATTGCAAAAAACATCGCTATGCGGATTCGTCATTCAACGAATCGCTCGTTATGCGGGGCACCACTGTAATTCTTACCAGTTCACACCACAAGTGGTCCAAATTGCAATCTGTTTCCCATGGATCACACATTTAGTCCAACTGGCTTCCTGGATCACATTCTGGAATTCTTTGTCAAATTTGACAAATTCTTAATTTATTTTCCGCTTCTTCCTATGACTCTTTTACCCAGATGTGCTGTAAATTAGGTTAAGGTCAGGCTTAGAAGAAACGATCATGAACTCAACCGTGGACCTTCGGCAAAAAGGCGGAAAGAAACGGCTGTTTCCGAATTCCTGCAGAGCTCATACTTCTTGCTGTAGCTTCAATGGCAAGGTTTGCTTTTGTTAATTTTAATTCTTTTTCCCAATGGATATTTTAAATGATAAATGTAACCTTTACATTTCTTTCCTCTCTGCTGCTCCTCCCAGACTTTAGTTCTCCCTTCCCATGGGAGGCCAGGCTGGCCCCGTTCTTTGCTCTCCTTCCATGAACAAGCAAAGATCTTTCTCTTCCAGCAGGTTTTCCTTCACATGACTGTTTTTTAATATTGCTTTTTTTAAAAAAATAAGTTTTAGTATAATATTTGTTTAGTTCTTTAATGTAAAAATTTATTATTTAATAATAAATATTTTAACTTTGTTTCTTTTGATACTGTAAGCTGCCTTGGAATCTTTAGGAGAAAAATAGCATCTAAATATTTTAAACAAATAATAACTTTTTATCTAAGCAAATCAGTGCTCTGATCTGCTAGGATTCTAAGAGCCAAACTATACCTCACAGGAGACATAATAGCTGTCATCAGCTCCTCAGATTTCATTTTATAATGTTTGTGGAAGACTCCGAATGTGGACCAGCAGGAACTGAGAGAGAGGGATGTTCAACTTTTTCATTCCATGGCGGGAATGGGGGGAGAGACAGCAAAACATGTAATTTTATCCTGTTCAGTTCATATTGCCTCATGATATATTGTCCTTTCAAGGTACAAAGAAAGAGCACAATAAACTCTGGGAGAATTAGAGATGGGGAGTTGGCTGCATTATTATTTGACAAACAGAACCTTAAAACCCCTAGCATCTAGGAAGTGTTCCTGCTACTCAGCAATCCAGGAAGTGATGGAAGAGCAATGGGTTTGTAGTATGTTTTCAGGTGGAGACAGACTAAAGCTGGTGTGACGATACACTCAGCTGGCACTGGGTAGCTTATGACACCTCCCCTCCAATATTGTGGGACTGCAACTCCCATACTAGGTAGGAAAGATGTGAGTGACAATGCAACAATATCTGGAGGGCCACAAGCCGCTTATCCTTGCCTTATCTGATCCAACCACCCCACGATCCTTGAACTTGTATGGCAAGAAGAAGGGAAGAAGTGTTCTGAAGAGAGACACAAAATATCCCCACTTTCCTGAAAAGCTCAGTGTTTCCCCGCAGAGTTTGATTCTGGGGCTACTTACCCATTGAGAAAACAGCATCTCCAGCTGGGGCTGCTCCAGCCAGTTCTAGCTGCTGAGTGCATGGCTGTTCAGGTTCTACAGTTGGGACAGAAGGCTCCTCTGGGAGATCCAGGATGGTCTCAGCTTTCTCCTCCACACTGGTCACCGGTGGCGCTTCAGGCGGCTTCTCCTCCAC